ACAAGTGACCGTCGTCAGGTGGAAGAGATACAGCAGGAGAACTGCTGACATAGGAGAAAGAGCTCGTTCTCTAGGAGTGATCTCACCCACACACGTGAACAAGACCGCATCATCCCAACACTCCACCTCTGTCCACTGGCTCCCAATACATCCTTGGACTGAAATCTGCCGAATCCCACCACCCTTGTCTCACCCTACTGCTGCCCTCCATGCGCTCTGCTCCAAAAAGCACGGCTTTCTGTCGCAGCCACCCCCCTCCTCCAATCAATCTCAGCTCAGCCGGAGGTGAATCAGTGGTGGCACCTGCTTCCATTATCTAGAAATACCTTCCTCTCAACAATCAGTGCTGCTGGCTCCCTGTCCCTAATCAAGTCCAGGCCTGTGATGTTCCTTTATTCGTCTGTTTGTGACTGTGACTCGCTCTTTCTTTCCATAAAATAATCACGCCCTCTGTATCTGTACAGCATCTTGAGATGCAGTTGCATTTAAACGCTCGGGAACAGAAATGTACATTGCATTGCATCTTGGCAAAAAGGCTACCTGTTAAAAAGTAACTCATAAATCCACAGAAACAATGATGAGAAATACATTTTGAGAATTAAATTATGGGAAAGTAATAATACGTTACTCGTAGAGGACTAAAATGTTGTTAATTCGTGAAGATGCACTCAAATAATCAGCCGGCTGGGGTGGCGAGTTGAAACATTCACGATTAAAATATATATTTCCTTGCTTTGGTTTACTAAGTGTTGGTCAGTGTCGAAGAATTTTAAATAAACTGAAAATATCGAAACAAGTACTCAATACATTTTTGACAAGTAATAATGTATGTAAAACGCATCAAGCGTTGTTGTGGAACATTGTGGTTAATGAGCGAAATCTACTCAGCTTATAGGCTTGTCATTCCCCTTACACCGGGAACTGGGGGGGGACCCCAATGCCCAAAGATCTGCGGATCCAGGGTTGGACTAATCAGCCACCTCAAGAGCCACCACCAAACCTAATGGACGTCATCCTCGAACCCCGAGGGACGATCGGGTACCGCGGTGGTGAGATGTTAACTACCTCGCTTGGTATACAGGTGGTCGTAGATTCCATCCCGACGCCTGTATATTTGGAGTTTGCATGTCTATCTCCCCCTGGTCGCATGGCATTTTCTCCGCATCCCGGTTTTCTCCCCCTCCACATTTAGAAACGTGCTTTAAGAGTACTTGGCTGCGATACATTCCCAAGTGATGCGCCTCCTAATTGGTGGCCAGGTCGCTTCTGAAAAAAAAAGAGCCTTATATAGCTCAGTGGGCCTTACCTGGTAAAATATTTAGATATTGCTCGAGAACAGCGCACGAGTTTTGTTTTGTACAACATCTCTCAGTTGTATATCGCCTTGTTGTGTACATGTAGGGCACTCCCCACGAAGATCAGGTAACCTCAGCAACAGTATTTTGTTTAACGTCACCTGACCGCTGAATGAGATTTACAAAATCTGTCTGTCGCCTGATGAAACTAGTTGTAATTACTGGCAAGACGTCGTACTCAGATTGTCAATGTTGTGGGTTTACTCTCCAACACACCGGTGTGCTGTACCAGTAACGAATTCGAATGTTCTGTTTACGTGACACAACCTCACTAATTGGTTGTGTCGGGTGGTGGCGGGTTTAACGACACATTTATATTTACGTGATCTAACCCAAAAAAAACCTGATGACGGACGCTTGTGTTGCGTCCAAAACGTCGTGATTCATTTTATTTTATTTCTACCTACGTGACTTTACCGAAAGAACCAAAGAGTATAGACTTAATAAGGTCGATGATTGTCCAACGTTTGCGTCGTTAAACAATTGCTACTTAATGTATGGTCTGGGGAAGGCACATATTGGCTGACAGAACAACGATAATATACATAACTATTTTATTTAAGATCCGTTTATTTATGTTGTCACTTATTATCACTTGGCTACATGTGCCTGTGAGTGCCTTTAAATAGCTCACGAGTTAAACGCTCCAACAACAAACTGTGTACTTGGGAAATGTAGGTGTCACGGCTTTCACGCGTTCCCACTGGGAATTGGCCCTCCCTGAAGGCAACCGACATTGTTTCTATCACGGCCAATTCAGACGTTGCATGGGCCATGGGGCACCTAACAGCGGGTTACACAAGTGGGTTTAAGCAATATGACCCCTGTTGCTTAAGTGGTGATTCATATATAAATATTTGTCTAATGACTACAGCAATGTGACCAGCGGTGACGGCGGTTCGAGCGGTGGGCGAAGCGGTTAGCGCACTGCACTATAAACCCGGCCACCCGAGTTCGAGTCCCCGCCACGGCTAGCGTCAGTGGCGAGTGGTATCTGTACCGGTTCTGGGGTATCGCACCGACACCAACCCTGATCAAACATCTCCCTACGACTGACAGAGCTTGGTGAGGCCTTCATCCAGCAGCGTATTGACAAAGGGCTGTACATTACAATGATCTCGTATGTCAATTTCAGACAGGTGGTACGTATAGCAGATGCATTGTTTTGGCACCGCATTAGACCGAGAGACAGAGAGACCAACACGTGGATATATATAAAAAAAACACGCGCAGGTTAAATAAATAATTCAAACGGCGTATGGGAGGTCTTCATCCAGCAGTGGATTACTGAATGAAAGATTGTACAACTATCGCTATAGAACACCGTGTGTAAAACAAAGAGGAGGCAGCTTTCATGCGCGATGCCTTACAACACTGGCCCCCCGTGTGTAACGGGAGATGGCGCAGGAGGGGCGAAGGGATTACGGCTCACACACCCATTGTGTGCGCTTGCAGCAACCGACTCGACCGCTCAGGGGACGGTGGTTGCTGAACCTTTACTGCAGCAATTGCGTACACCCTCGTTGGTTCTCATTCGTTAAAACATTTCATAATGTTCATAAGCAACATGGGGGTTTTTGATGAAACAATGTGAGTTGTACTTATGTGCCCGTGCTTAATGAGTGTTTTCTATGATTTAGCTTCCCAAAAAAAAATCTGGCGTGTCTCGCAGTCCCAGAAAGGGCATCTTGCACCCCCATGGAGATGTGCGCACCCCAGGTTAAGAACCAGTGGCCTATGTGGACAAAACGCGTCAATTGGTGCACCCCAGGTTAAGAACCAGTGGCCTATGTAGACAAAGCGCGTCAATTGGCCCCAATGCTTATCCTACAGGCAGGGATTATATTCATCCGGAGCTGTCTGGGGCTGAGCTCTGGAAAATCCATGATAAAAAATAATCCCCGCTTATGAGCGGGAAGACGAATACAGAAGGGTGCAGCCTTTTAGCGTCTTGTTCACAAAGCTGTTGGTGGAAGGGCTACTAATATATGCGCTATGAAGAAGGGTCCATATCCGAAACGTCGCTTGTTATATATATACACACACACACATATACATGTCCCCCCCCCCCCTTTCAAGACCGTGCGGTTTTATTACACGAATGTGTCGAGCCTTGTGTGTACGACGAGTGAGTGAGTGCTCAGCGTTGAGCTGCGCGTGTTGCGGGAGAGGGTTAATTAACGCGCGCGCTCGTGCCGGGCGATGCCACGCTTCCTGCTGCCCGCCACGGATGCACACGTGGCTGGCTGGGGTGGTTTAGCAAGCGCTCCCAATAGCGAGAAACTGCTCAAGCATCCAAATGCAGGACCCTCTTTGTAGTGGCAGTTTTGAGACTCGACTAGGATTTCCGCGGGGGTGGGTTAAAGAGGCGTGGTCATATTCATCGTGCTCCCATGATTGATGTTCAGTAACAAATTAAAACGTAACGTTAGTCTGGTAAGTCAGCTGGGGGCGTACGCATCAGCGGATGCCCCATCAATTGAGGGGTTAGCCCCCCTCGTGCCTCGACGCGCTATTGCCACCACCACCTCCAACCACCACGAGACGGGAGGGTTCGGTTCACATGGAGCTCGTTCATTTCTCAACAACAACAACAAAAACGTTCAGAGACCGCTTTGGCAGTTGTGTTCACACGCACAGAAGAAGAAAAACACCCCACAACAATATCAACATCTGTCCACAATCGTCAACATTACTACCGTCTTAAAACAGAAACTGAACAATTTGGCTACGTGTGTACCGGGTGCTTCAAATAAATGTTAACACCTAAATGGGACTATCGTTTTTAATGGACACAGAAGGGAGAATATACTGTAACATGATAAAAAAAATGTATGTTATTAGTTTCAAAAAGTCTCCACTTGTTCGCCATCGTTGTCAACACGTTGTCTGGAAGCTTCTCCAGGTGGTCTCCAGAGCCCGCAGTCACATTTATTGTCGTATTGTTGCAAATTCTCACAAGTGTTAAAACATTTTTTTAAGCACCCTGTATATGTGTTGAACTTCTTTCGCACCGTACGCAGCCAATCGGTGCGGGGAGGGGGGAAGGACAACAGCATACTAAGCCCATGAAGGAGTTCAACGTCGCATGTAATCGACTCGCTGGGAATTGCGGTATATGCGGATATGTGAATAGGGCAGATATGTGAATAGGGCAGATATGTGAATAGGGCAGATATGTGAATAGGGCAGATATGTGAACATCTACAGAAAGCGACGGTAGCATAAGGCACACGTTTCGGGCACTGGGTTGAAAAAAAAAAGCTAAATGATTCAATGTGGGGGGAATGCTTTCCTGTGATTTATAAGTCAGCGATTGTGCGTGAGATCAAGAACGCCATTATCATTGCGCGTGAAAAGGTCAGATTTATGAACGTCTGTGGAAAATTACATTTACACCACGCATCTTTTTTGCATTGGGTGTGGTGGCGCTTAATTGATCAGGGCGGATGTACTATACAGGACATGTATGTTTACTGCACAGGCATCTCTGTTGTAAGCCTTGGTGGGTGCAACTGACAAACGTGTTGAGGCTATATTTTTTTTATCTCCCAGCAACATTTCTAGAAGGACTAAACACAGACAAGCGAACCATGTAATGCGCCTGTCAATGGAAAACAACCCCGTGCGTGGGATGGAACTCACCCCCTCGTGTGGATCGGCCGTCCATCGCCCCTCTCCTTCCAACGATTTGGAGTCCAACAGGTCAACTGTGCGAGAGAGATGTATCAATAGTGAGACAGGGCTCCGTTTCAAGTTGACGCAGGCTGAGCTCCGGAAAATATTCCACGCGGTATTAAGCCCATCAGTGTGCGTGCGTGCGTGTGGGGAGCGATAGTGTAGCGGTTAGCGCGCTGCGCTATGAACCCGGCGATCCGGTTTCGATTCCGGCTCACGGTCAACACCAGTGACGATTATCTGAACTGGTCTTGAGCCTCCCCTAGGTCGACTCAACCTCAAATGAGTACCTGGTGCGGTGTGTTAACATCGCCACTGGGGAGACAAAAGCCGTCGGGCGTGGTGCTGGCCACCCACCTCCTCGTGTTCCGTTCCGGCCTTCTTAGGTGCTCGCTAACAGCACTTGCCTCTACAGTCTGGCGAGGCTATACGGGGGATCTTTGCCTTTGTTAGGCACACAGACGGAGACAACTTGAAAGGCGTCCCGAGAGATGAGAGTTGTGTGCCATCGGATGATTACGCACGCGTGGTCACGCGCGTTGTGTTTTGCGCTGGTGAGGTTCACGTCGATATATCATATCACATACGGGAGATACAGAGAACGGGTGTGTTGTATTCTGATGAAAGCTCCGCTACGGCGATCGTTGAGGTTTCATCACGTGCAGTCTATAATCATGTACAGTATATATCAATGCAGTATATATAGAGAACGCATGCGGAACCTTGATTGTATTCTCGTGCTGCGCAGTCACGAAATGCTTCACCAGAAAATACTGCAGGGCACCTTGGCTATCCTGGCTGAAGGTGATTATTATTTAATTAGCAACATGTTAAACGCTTATTTTTTATCCTGCATATTTGCCAACGAAGGAGCGGTGGCGCCGCGGTTGCCGCACTATGCCCTCTATTCTGAGCCCGGCAAGTGATGTTAGAACCGGTTTTACCCCCCCACTCCTTCCTCTCACCAACCTGCACTGAACCAATGTGGTGAAGTATGGTCACACATACACCCCCCCCCCCCATGATCCGATACGGCGGCGGGGAGTCCACGATCTATCCAGCAGTGGATTTCACAGAGAAGCTGGAACGTTTCAATTGACACCGCACGAGTTTATGTCAGTAAGGTTAAGTTGTTTAACGTGGTGAGAAATCGAAGTTTGTGGAGAGAGGCATCTGTCCGGGTCAGCAATTCGGAAAAATATATCCACACCCGGCACACCAACCAAAATATCACTTTTACTTTGGCTTCTCATCACGAACCACCACCACCTCCTCCTCCTCCAGTCTAAACAAGTGATCCGAGAAATATTCGTTGAGAAAATGACGCCCGGTGTGTGCGTGCGTGTTCGTGGGCATGTGCCCATCTAGTAAGATAAAGTACAATTGTTGTGTTCTTGTTTTGTTCAATTCTCACACTGCGTTCAATCGCCGTAGGTGACTTGGCCAACAACAGTGATTAAGAAGTGCCGCGCTGCAGCGTTTAATATTCGAGACGGGTCCACTTGTTTTTAACGCGACTCAAGCCTCCCCCCGTATATTGAACCACGCGACAAGACAGATGTGGAAAAGGGGACTAATTCCAGGAGGGCGATTTGGCCGAGGAGCCGGTAATTGGTACGAAGTGCTTAACCTATTACGCCAAACAACCCGCCAATGTATTTGATCTAATGTTCTGGCATTCGCCCTCTTTGCCCACTGGCATCCATCCATCCTCTGGCTAGAGCGCGCGTGATTTCTGAACGCACTTGCCGCTGCTCTATCCCACAGCCGTACCTGTAAGCCACGATACGCACGGTCTTATGCAAGCAATGCCGTTGCAAGCACACACGAGCAGAGAGTGGGTTGTAACTCCACACACACACACACAAAGTATTGAGTCCATCAGCCTATTGGCTTACGAGACCAATGTTATCAAGCAGCATGTGTTCAGCGGTTTCGACCTTCTTGGGTCTCATCATGCCGTTTAAATGATTACGATCAAACAATGCCACTGGCCCACATGGAGTTAAAGGCGAAAATGACTTATTAAGTAAGAGGCGATTTTGATAAACTGGAATCCAATGGAACTTTTGAATTGCAATTGACCGTCGCTTTGATCGATGGCATTGAAGACCTCCCCCCCCCTCTTACACTTAACTCGGCAAATGCTAACGCATACATGCCACTTTATTTATTTATCAAGATAATTCGTATAGGCATGCAGCAGACTGCCGAAGACACATTCATGTCAGGGTCCGTATGGGAACAAGAGGGTTAGTAGCGAAACAGCATCACGCACGGCCGTCTTTGTCTCACCAGCGCGTGTTATCCAACGTACAGTGAAGTACTCAATGAAGGCTAAATCGACCTAAGGGAGTCCCAGGACCAGTCATAATATCAAGTGGCATCAGCTGTGAGTTGACCCTTGGCTGACCACTGCGCCTCGCACTCACGCACTCACACCCACGCATCTATAGTTGTGGCAAGTCTAGCCTCGTGCCTCTGCCCTGCTTGAGTGAGTGCGTTAAAGAGTGAGAGATACGCTCCGCTCACCCCTCCGTCATTCCGTTACGAGATTGGCACAAAGAGGACTTATTCCTTAGCTCGCAAAGAAAAAAAGAGTCAAAACTCGCCTTATATAGCTGTTTGACGTTTCGTGCGATGCCCCTACTTCAGATGAAGGTTTAAAGGAACATTTGCAAGGTATCTTTAACGTCCGGATCAGCAGACGTATCGGTCGTCTGTCTCGATAGCGTTATTACCACGAGACAAAAGTTCGATTCAAATGTACAATCAAGATGACTAGAGTACCCACCTTACTATGTACAATGGAGTATATAGTACCAACATGATTATGTGAAGTGCATTTATAATGGTATTGCAACAATGCAAACTGTAGCTGTATCATAGCAGGATGCAACGCCACGTGCACTCCACTGAAAGGGGTCATTTATTATATAAGCTGCCGATTCGCGTATGTATAAACTCATCAGGAGATACAGCAATTACTCTGCCGTGTGTTCGGTGGCTGAATAAGCTCCCAACACGCGGCGCGAAACGTCGGACATCCCCGTACGAAGAGCACGCGGGCACGTTCCGAAAAACACATCGGCTTCAACAGACCCACATCGACTGCGACCACGGTGTTGCGGATCGAGGCGACCTGCTGCTGCTGCTGCGGTATCCGCGTGTAAACCCGCGTGTAAACCCGCGTGTAAACCCTCGTGTAAACCCGCGTGTAAACCCGCGTGTAAACCCTCGTGTAAACCCGCGTGTAAACCCGCGTGTAAAGCCTCGCGTGCGATCCCGCCAGTGTTCGGGATCCATCCCTGAGTCTGAGCCAGCTCCGCAACAGACTCAAAAAGGTGGTTGTTGTTGTGGTTTGTTGTTGTTGTTGTTTCAGAGAGCCTACTTCAACGTGTCTTCAATGCGCTTTCGTGATGGACTGGACCCGTCAGAGTGCGCAATATCAAATGTTCTTACTTACTCTGGCAGTTGCGGGCGCTACACCTATACTCACCACGCCTCCGATTTGCCACGTACGGCGCGAAAGAAATTCCACGTGCGCACTTCACCACACCGGCGCTCATATACTCCGCTCAGATTCGATACGTTAAGGGACGCACGTCCCACGTTTCTCGCTTTCAACTTCTGAACGTGTTGTGTGGAACAAACACGCACTGTTCGTGTTTGCACTGGTGCAGAGGCTGCGCATATTACAAATCAATAAATCATCCACACGATGCGTATATCTGTGCGCGCGCGCGTGTGTGTGGGTGCGTATGGGTAAGAGCGCTATCATTTTCACACAGTTTGGAGCGGTGGGACGGTGGTTAGCGCACTGCGATCCGAACCCCGCGACATTGACTTGGTTAGAATCTCGGCCATTGCTAAACATCACTTGGTGAGTGATATCTAAAAGGGCTCTTCCTGCCCGGGGTATATTCAAATCTCACTCATCAGCGTGGTGAAGGATGGTAAAAATAAATTAATTAATCACTCCCTCTATCCAGCAGTGAATTAACAGAGCGCTGCACTTTACAATGATTTCATATTATGGTTTTCAGACGTGCGGAAGCAGATGCATGCTTAGAATTACATTGAGCGAGTGGAACACGTGGATTAGAGAACATAACGGAGGTGAAATATCTCATTCAAACTGTTAGGAAAAGTCTGCGTGAGCAGAGCACGTCGCTCCAAGGGGATGATGAACGAAGGTGAATAATAGTTACGGAGTGGCAGAGAAAGAATGGGGGCGCGTCTGAGAGCACGTCCACGCGTGAAATATGGAGCAATAAAAAAACATCGGCTACGGTGTGTGTGTGTCGGTGTGTGTGTACAGGTGAGGAGCGGTAGTGTAGCGGTTAGCGCGCTGCGCTACGAACCTGGCGACCCGGGTTCGATTCCCGCTCACGGCCAACACCAGTGACGATTATTTGAACCGGTCCTGGGCGTCCCCTAGGTCGACTCAGCCTAAAACGAGTACCTCGTGCGGTGTGTAAACATCGCTACGAGGGAGACAAAGGCGGCCGTGCGTGGTGTTGGCCACCCATCCCCTCGTGTGCCGTGCCGGCCTTCGTAGGTGCTCGCTAACAGCACTTGCCCCAATAGTCTGTTAAGGCTACACGGTCTTTGAGTGTACAGCTCCTGTGTTGTGCATCGGTGCATCGCGGAACTGTGGAAGACAGCGATGGTTTGGGGGGAAGCCGTTATGCAGCAGTGGATTGAGCACGGCTGACGGTGTCCAGTGACGGCTTGCGCTTGGTGACATGAAGGGAGCTTGCGAGGGAACACGACGGCATTCCCCTACGGCGTGTGCGCATTCCCCGTATGCCGTGCTGGAATTCTCACTTCGAAGGGCGGGATCTCTCCGAGAGGACAGTTTATCGAGCATCTATTAAGCCCGGAACGACGTTCGCTTTTGTTTTACCCCCAGCGGTGATGCATTTGTTTTTTTCCTAGACAAGTTCTGCCATCGCTTCGTAGCGTTAAGTAGCGCACCAACACACACACACAGACAGCCAGCCACGCCGTTTCAGAATTCGAATTTGCGAGCGCAGACTGCCGATCGCATTTCCGAGATACCGTCGTTGGCGGTGCGGTTTGCAAAGTGTGTGAGGTTGTAGTCCGTCACTCGCAATGCACGAGCGAGCGACTTGTACACGCGCGCACGCACGCATGCACGCATTAACGCCGTGTTACGCGTAATCTGGACGGGTGTCAAACGCTGCAATTCGAAGACGCCCGCTGACGTTACGAGCTTTTAAAGCAACTTTCGCGCCCAAGTTGCCTGCCCGACAAGACCAGCCTGCACAATTATTTCACAGTAAATCGCATGCACGAATAAAACACGTTGTTCTTTTTGTTGCTGTTGCTGTTGTTGTTGAAAACGCAAAAAAAGGGCGCTCTAATGTATGTTAACATTGGCCGCGGCAAGGAACGGCAATTTGGCAAGTCTTCTTACCACCCAAGGCGCCGCTGACAAGCGCTTAAACTGCTCCGAATCAATGAATGAATTGCATAACAGCGTGGAACCTCGCCTCTCGAAACGGGCGGAAAAGAATGAGCAATCTTTGAGGGCAATACGAGGCGAATAGACCAAGGAGAGGTCATTGCTGGAAGAACACACGCACACACACGCGCGCGCTTTGTTATATACATGAAACAACGAACCTTCATTGGTCGGATTGTTGGATGAAAATACGGACGTGACGAATAAAATCCAGACGTGCAGCGGCAGCAGCAGCAGCAGTCTCCGTGCCATCACTGCCGAACTTGCGAGTCTCTGTTATTTTGGTTTCTCGCTTCTCTCGTTCGCTCGCTCTCTCGCCTCTCCCTCGCCTCTCCCTCCTCCGCTGCTGAGCTGGATTAAGAGGTCTCACATGGTCCCAGCGCAGAACGGTGCAAACGGGGCTGTGTACATTTCTAAGCTCTGCCAACAGGCGGTGACGACTACCGCCAAGTAAGAACCGAGCTGCGAGCATAGACGGTGGTGGTGGTGGTGGGGGGAGCGGAGGAGGAGGTGGGGACACAGAAACGTGACGACACACAGAGGCGAGGCGGGGCCGCTGTTCACAGACCCTCCAATTGCCTCGATTCCACCCCCCAAAAGGATTTTTTTCTCCCCTTTTCTTTCTCATTTATCCATCCAGCCCACCCCACCTGCCCACCCAGCCACCAACCCAAAGCCCCCACCACCACCCACCCCACCCATCCCACAGTTGAGATTAGTGTGCAGTATTATGTAACTGCAATTTAGAGTCAGGACTCTTATTTTTTTTGCTGATAGGTACAAAAAATAATGCCCCGTTTAAGGCAGCGAGTCTGCAATGTGGTGTTGGTGGGGTACCGGGGTGGTATTGTGACATCTGATTAATCTAGACGGTGGTTCAATGATTTCTCCTGGTACAATACGATACCATTCGGATTTGTTACAGTTAAAGGTGCAGCACTGAAATTGCTTCCTCACGCAACGGTTGGCGGAGGGTCTCCACTAAAGGGAGCTCTGGGGGTAGGGAGGAGGGTGGGGGGGTTATTTTGGCCTAATCTTTCACGCTCAAAACAGATGGGAGTTTGCCTCGCTTTTCCCCACCATACACGCATCCTGCTGATCAACTCTCTGCCGATTATATTCTTGGTTCTTTCGGTAAAGTCACGTAGAAGGGAAGCAACGTGACTTTACCGAAAGAACCAATAATATGACTCCCTGCAGTCACGAAAGCTTTAAATAAAAATGTTCTCTGCCCATTGTGATGCGCTCTGCCTGCAGTCACACAGTGCAGTGCAAGTTGAGTTTATGGAAAGACTAAAATTTGACTGCATCTCAAGACCCTGTGTGCTAGGAGCGATAAGCCCATCTAGTGAGTTTAAAAAAAACTTGCTTTAATTGGAGTGGGGAATGAGGGAAATAACTCTCCAAGCCACAGAGATACATGCCGTGACATTATGGTGTAAGTGAGTACTATGAAGATAATTAACAGAGAGACAGTCAGCTATATGAATATGAGATGAGCAAAGTCTTATGCCTGGACTTATGCTAATGCTTATTACATACCCAGGAAAGCCTCAGTAAGTTTAAAGATTTATTTTCAGAAGCATTCTGCATTTGGATGTTTGGCCAGTATCAGTAATGAGTGTTTGGCATGTGGAGTTGGAAACTAGAGCGACTTGGGGAAATCCATACATATAAGGAGGTGATACTCAGCACTGCCATCTCCTGGCCAACCCACAGCCCCATGCCTACAGCAACTGGCAAGCCCTGGTGACCCCCCCATTATATTACTAACCAGGCTCAACCGGGATCAGCTTGCGAGATGTGACGAGTGCATTTTGGGTGATTTGGCCATAGGAATTTAACTGGGTTAGGGTCTATTTCTATGATCAATTGTAGGGGATTTCAGACATTAGGTGCAGCAGCAGAAACAGAACGACACCCAATGCAGCAAAGGGTGGTGATTGAGGTCTTTGACAGATATATGGCATTTAAAGTGGAACTCAAGGTCAAAGTGATTCCTTGCCCAAGTGAGCATTGAGGCTATGGCTCACCTGAATGTTCACATTCCTGAGCCAGTGTTGGAAACTCCACATTACCATGGCAGGGGTGAGTATATCACTCTGACAATCTTTGTTGGCTTCCCCAAACAGTGGTGTCATGTTGTCACTCTGAATCCTTATTCCTGCTCCACAATAAAAAACAATCAGTTAAATCACTTGGAATGCTTCAGGCTATTTATGGACAAACCAAATTGCAGGTAGACTGCCCGCTCAGAATTTCAGGCATTATGCATGACATTTTTTAGTTGTTCCTGAAACCACGACTGCTAAAGCCCAATTCTTAAACCGGTGAAACCCTTTAAAATCCCCCGGTACATGTAAAGGCACTATATTAGTAGAGAGTACTGCATATATGAGCGCGGACATATTTTAAGGGCATGTTTTATTTAAAAGTAATAAAAGGTCAGTGGCCAGCATTAACAATAATATAAAGCATGTTAGTGTGACGTTTATAAGCTCTTAAATGGTGCTGCTCTAAATGTAAATCCAAATCGTGGTCATTATCGCTTCTCTTTTTCCTGTCTCAGACGGCTTGGCTGGGATGTTATCCCACTAAAATAGTGTCCCCTGCAAGATGCAAGGTGACTGCTAACCTTTGGGCATGAGCTCGAGTCTGCAAGTCACAGCGATCGTGTGTTTTACCGAGCTCAATTGAAACGTGTCAAAATATAAGGCTGCAAAGTAACAACCGCACAACTGGAATGAAAACGAAATAACTTCCAACGATTTGCTCGTCAACAAATCACTTTCAATGCGCCTGATTTATTCGGGAGCTTGGGAGCCGCTACCGAAGGCTAGTCGGTCCTTAAGAGTAAATCCGTTTCAGCTCGGGTGGCGGTGACACGGTGGCCTAGCGCAGGGGGAGGGGGGGTCGGTTAAAACCTGCGGCTCCGGGTCCGCACGCGTGCGAATAATAATCGAGGACTCGCTGCCGTCACGTTCTTTTACAAAGAACCACCGTCTCGTACTCATCCACGTGCATTGCGGCTTCTTGACAAATTGAGGTGGTGTTGTTGTTGTTGTGGTTTTTGTTTTTTTTACCGAATTCGAAGAAATAAAATGGTTCGCTTGCTTGCCGCAGATGTTCACCGTTCAAATCTGCCCGTGTAACGACAACCGAAAGCACACCGGCCGTCTGCTTCAGAGGGGACGTCAAAGATTCCCCGGCACCCCCCCCACCCACCCACCCCCACGTCGTTTGCAAGTGGAGGTCATCGTCTGCCGGCGTTTGCGTCCACATCTGTCCGAATGATCCACCGATGAATCACAGCTGGAATATAACGCAGCGGCAATCTTCACTCCCCCACCGCCACCGCCAAATGCGAGAACCTGGCTGAATCTTCCCGACAAAGAGTCGACGAGATTCGAAGACGATTTCCCGGGTCAGCAAAGTGTCCGAATTAAACAAATAACGAGAAGTCCATTACCAGTCCGCCAATAGATGACGTAAGAATAGAGGTTGTTTCCGGGGTTAGATCGCGTAAAGTATAAGCGTGTAATTTACTCACCAAACACCCGATCGAGACAATTAGTGATGTTTGTTTCGCTGGTAATTACATTAAGCATCATCGGGCAAAAAAAAAATCGCGAGAAATAAAATGGCCCGATGATGATGCTGGGTTTAATTACCAGGGAAACGTCGAGCTCAAATGGTAAATGTTGTGGACTTACTCCCCAAACACCGGTGGGCTGAAGTAGTAACTAACTAACTAATTGTCACGTTTTGTTTACATGACAAACATTACAAATTGGCTGTGTCGGGTGGTTGGCGGGTTTTACGACACATTTACAC